GGGCAGGAACATATGACTAGGGAAGGGAGAAGAACAAAGATGGAGGTAAAGAAAAGATGAAAATGAAAGATTTAAACAGAGTGAGAGTGCGTGGCTACGATGAGGATGGACCGGAGGAGAATCTGATTTCGTCCGGAGCTGTCACAGAAATCTCTCTCTCTGGCTCTCTGATGAAGTATCTGCGCAATGCGCGGGAGCCCACCTCTGATAGGGAGCTCATAGTTAGTGTATATGGGTGGGTAGGTACCAACCACCAATCTCTAGCAGCCTCCAGCAATGTTCAGCAATATCCAGGAACATTGAGCAATTTCCGGATTTTTTAAATCAATTGCTACTATTATCATGCTACCAGACCAAGAATCAACCGTTCGTACGTAATCGGGTCTATAGTTTTTTCTGAATTTTTTTTGTTCAAAATCGTGAGAGCTTTATCGAATTACAAATATCGTGCTGCTGTAAAATGAATTATCGGAGCCTGTGGGCAGTAATTGATGATGCAGTAGAATTTTAGAATGAGTGAACTTTTAATTTAGGATCGCACAGATCGATCGATCGATCTTGACAGATATATTCAAGATAGTTTCAGATGCGTCCAGCCCACCTGATTCCTCCTGATGTCCTCTGCTGTCTCCCAGTCGCCCTCGATAGCTTTCGACTTCCGACGGTTCCTGTACAGGCTGAACGTGAACTCCTGGTGACTCGTCCTCGTAGTTGCTATCGCAAGGACGTGTTATATCCGCGCGGAGCGTAAGCTCGAACTGGTTTCTCGATTCATTTTGCTCTCACCTGAGAGGAGAGCTGCCCTAGGAGAGAGGTAGAGAGGTAGAGAGAGACGCATAGTGTAGGTGTATGTGTCTGTGCAAGAAAGAGTGAGTGAGAGAGAGAGAGAGAGAGAGAGGGAGAGAGCCCTGGCCCTAGAGAGAGGAGCCCTTTGGGGATGGCACCCTTCGCGGATGGGCCGAGCGCTCGCAAGAGGCTGCGTGACAGGGCAGTGGGAGGAGCAAACCCCTCTACCCACCACCCCCTCGGGGAGTCAATCGGCATAATTGAGGCTGGTCTACCTTCTCTCTCTTTCTCGTCGACTGGCTCAATTCACTCGCTCTCTCACCGACTGCCCCCTTTCAGGGAGCCCGCTGTACATCCGGAGCTGCCGGACAGAGGGATGTCAGGTCCACCTCCTTCTTCTTCCAATCTCTTGCTTAGCTAAGCCGGACCCCACGCCTTCGTACCTACCTACCTACCTAACCTAACCGATCCGACTGCTTAGCTATGCCCCGACCTAGTGCGTAAGGTGCACGTGATCAAGATTTTCCAGCCCGCAGCATCCCCTCAGGGCTTACCCGACCAAGTGGAAGGCTCTTTTCTCGGTACTGGCTCATCTTCGAGCTTAGAATTCTAATTCAACGTCCGAAGCCCTGGAGTGTGATATCCTGGTTGATACTCTTGATATTTCAGAGATAGAGATCGCAGATGGGTCCGAGGGTTCCGGAGGTCCCAATCCTAAAGGAGACGGGACTGCGCGATACCTTCCATCATCCTATCAGAGTGCATTACTTATCTGGGTATCGAGTGTCCTGGGTCCTGGCATCATCCTGGCATCATCCTGGCACGCGAGCGCCGATACCATCGCGCCACTCGATCATCCTATCGCCGGGCAATGTGCCCGGTCCTGGTCCTCCGGCACGCAGCTTCCTAATTGGTCGATCCTTCGGGTAAGTACGAGACCCACCGGGACACGGACGATTACGAGCGAGCTCAGAAGTCCCAGGAAGTCATTCGAGGAATCGGACCTGGTCCAGTCTGAATGCACGATTAGTCCGTGTCGAAGCGGCTTTCCGAGTCTCTAGCTCGAAGCTCCTTTCTCATTCTCATCTGAATCGGATCGGATCCTCTAGTTTCATTGTCAGTCCTCAATCGTAGACAGAAGGCAAAGCTGCCGGATGTTACCGGTTTACGAACCATGAAAATCCTGGTAATTTAATTATGTCCAAGTCCCGCGCAACCCCACGTAACCGCGTCTCCACGCTCGTTCCACCTTTATCATCTTCTTACTTCCACTCTGTAACTTTTATAACGCGTGCTACCTCCCCCTTCTTCTCCCCCCATCTTACGACCTCAACCAAAATACTTTCAACATTTTTCACCTGATCTCCTCCCCTGCACTCGCCGCGCCGCGGCTCGATCTCCGATGACTTTTTATACGATCTTCCTTCTCGGAAGAGGATGGTCCAAGTGGTGCGTCTCTCGGTGAAGACCGTGAGATCTCGTGAGAAAAAGATTTTCGTACGGTGGACAAGTGGAAGTGGCGATTCGCTTTTAGGTAGGATTGATAAAGGGCGAATGGGAGGAGCGAGCGGGATGCTGGAAGAGACAAGGACGTATGGACCACCGTGTATCTAGGAAATAATTAAAGAGCCATAAAGGGCAAAGTATCGTGTTACGTGGGAATAATGAGCGATGAATATTTATGTTTAAGATCCGCTGAAGTGCCCCGCGTTACGACTCCGTTCCCGATCCTCTACACTGTTTTATAGATCTTGCCCCGAGCGATCCGATCCACTATCTATTATGGATCGTAACGATCCACCGTTACGCTCGGAGTTTCAGCTCTATTGGCTATTTAGCGGTGCTACGCGTATCGTTTAATACGTAATATGCAAGACTTGGGTAACAGGCACGAGAACGATTACAGGTCTCTCGTCGATCCCGATCGATACGGTCGATCGTGATCCTCGACGGTACCGGTAAGGATCGCAGCTGGAAAAGATGATATCAATTGGTGAGATAACAGTCAAGGAGATTTATGACCTTTTTTTTTTGTGAAATCAGGTAAATCAGGAACTCGGTTACCTCGCAGCAGACCCAGTGGCTACTGACAGTTGGTCCAATTCTTGTTGGGCCAGTCTTGTTCAATGATCCCTGGATACGGCGAAGAAGGATCTATTCAAGATCATCCACACGTTTCGCCGTAAAAACGTCTCGATCAAAGTGTGATAATCGATTGGTCCCTCGGCTCGGGGCATCGGCGTTTCCGCGAACCGGATCTTACGGCGCAAGAAATCCCTGTAGAAATTGTTAATAGTTAACTCGGCATTACGTGATCGGCAGCCACTTAATTGAGACGTTGGACCAGCAAGAAATCTACGCTCGAGCCGTAAACTCGCACGTCGGCCATTACAATTCGTATCACCTTGGGTATAACGGACAGAGAGGAGGTTACGGGTACCTAAATACAACCCCCCATAATATTTGCTTCCATGTCTTCCGGTTTCAGAATAAGAAAAATCCCCGAGACGAATTCCTACGCTCTATATAAATTCTTTGGTTATGAACTGGGCGAATTAAAAAAAATATTCCCGATCAAAAATGCTTTTATGAAGCTACTTTGGGATTCGAAGGATTCGTCAGGGGCGAAAATATTCAGTGCTCCACCCCCCACTCACCCCTCTCCTAGAGATCGTCTGGACCGCGCGTGGAATGCTTTAATAATGCATTCCTGGAGAAGGAACTTTGGCGAAACTTGCCTGGAACGCGCCGCGACGCCCTTCGTAACTCGTCCGCCATGTTATAACACTACGTCACTACTGAATTATATATATAAGGAAAATTGAAAATTGAAAATTGTCGACCAACAGAAGATATATATATATATATATATATATATATATATATATATATATATATATATATATATATATATATATATATATATATATATATATATATATATATATATATATATATATATACATATATATACGGGATCGATGGATCCTGAATAAATACAAAGAAAGAGCCTCCTGTTGCTCTTTACTCTTTACAATAACAATCAAGTCATCGTTTCTATGAAAGTGCCACTTAACACGATTCCGTCGTTAGCAATTGCGTATACGAAGCTCTCGAGACTAAATCCTTAAAGGCCGACAAGTTGCTGACAAACCGAGGACGCGACTCTCGTCAAGCCTCGACAAAGGGAGTATGGCGTGTGGGTACGTAGGTGGAGACGGGGTATAGAGAGAGGGTTTACAAAAAAAAAAAAAAGAAAAAAAATATCATGAACCAGACAAAGAAGAAATAATATGAGGAGAAGGAGCGAGAGCAGAAGAGCGAAACGGTCACGCCGTGGGCATTTCAGAAGTGGACGTTCAATTTGCATAACTCGAACGGTGGGTGGAGCGTCGGTGAATCGGTTAGCACGAGAGAGACACGAGCTGGAGAAGGAATCGATAACCAATCGATACCTTCGTTCATTAAACGGACAGTCGTCCAGTGGACCAAGCAAAAAAGATCAAGGATGACACCGTGAACTCCTGTCTGCTCCGATGATATCGCTATCACGGGACCCGGACCTAAACCCACTGTCCCTAATTCATAGACGGGACCCACTTGATCCCCTGCTCCTGTCCCAGGTCCTGGTACTCTTTGATAGGGAGTACAGT